AGCCTTCGGCGGCATGCCTGTGGGAGGTCCGCCGGTCCCGTGGATTCGGCGGCAATTCGGCGGCGGGGACGCCAAAGCCGCGGGACCGGCAGCCTGCCTGCTGTGCTTGGGGCGGCAAAAAAGCTAGAGCTGCTGCTGGATACAGTTCCCGCTTGTACTGTGTGTGTGCGTGCATGTGTCCATTTTACGTTGGAAGTGGAAACTTATTCTCCAACAGTTCCAGGAAATCAGCCCATGCCACAGGAAGAGGGGAGGAGAAAGAAAGTAGGAGGTAAATACTTTGCTAAATGCTGAGAAAAACAGCCAGCTGCTTGGCAGTAGTTCCAGGGAGGAGTAGCAAGGGTGTTGCACATAATGGGCTGGAGAGGAAAGAGGCAGAAGGTGAACAAGGCCAGACCTAGTTCCAGAGTCTTCCCCCCAAATAACCAGAAATCCTTCTTGGTACAGAAGAGAGAAGCTGTTCCTGGGAAAGAGAGCTGGTGATTTATTTTAGAGTCAGCTCAAATTAAAGCTCCTTCATGAAGTCCTTGGGAGATGCCTGATGCAAGGAATCGCAAGGCAACCAAGCCAAAAATGGTGCATCTGCAGCAATCACTCAGGGAGTGGAGAAGATTGTTTATTTTTTTCCTCCTGGAAGCAGCACCCACCTTCCTAGGAGACTGCCCTTTTTCCATGTGCTTTTTTGGAAAATTAGGTGCAGCTGTTCTGCTTCCTGAGTAAGCTCCTCTGGGTCTTAGCTCAGATGTTGCCTCCCTTCATTAGAGATGCTGGGACATGGATATTACGGATACGGTTCCTGAAGGGTCTGAGCCACTCACACGGTTGGTCCTGTGGACCATAGAAGCACACTGCACCATGTTCATGGAATGGTGTCAGCTCCTGGGACCCAAATCATATTGCTTTTTTGGTTAGCTGTATCTGTTTCTTTGTACTTCTACAGATCCCCAGTCCCTCTGATGTCAGCTTCATTCATTACAGGCTCTGAGTTTTTGGTTAAGCAAAATGTCTGCAGGTGACAAAACACGTTTCACTGGTGCCATCCTGTAGTTTAACAGTGCTAAATATGAGTCTGAATCCACAGCCTTTTTCAGTTGCCACGTTACTATTATAAACACCATTTTCCACCAACCCCTTGGATTGCGGACGAGCTTCTAAACTTAGACTTTACTGCAAACTGCTTAAACTCACATCCACTCAGGTGCAGCCCATTGTCAGATATTACTAGGTTAAGTACACCAGGTCTAGCAAAAATAGGTTTGACGTGCACAATCACCTGTTTAGCGTGGTGTCTTAGGCTTTGTCTACACTACGCACCTTTTAGCGACGCAGCTGTGCTGCTACAGCCATGCAGCTAAAAGGCACGCAGGGTAGCCGCTGTTTGTCGGCAGGAGAGAGCTCTCCCGCCAACAAAACACTTCTACCCCCAATGAGTGGTGGTAACGTTGTTGGCAGGAGAGCACTCCTGCCGACAAAGCGCTGTCCACACCGGCACTTTTCGTCTGCAAAACTTTTGTCTTTCAGGGGGTGTGTTTTTTTCACACATCGTCGTTCAGTTGCCGGTGTAGACAAAGCCTCCCAGTAAAGCGATTTCAGAGAAGTGAGAATAAGTCATGAATGAGGGCATAGTTTTTTCCAGGCAACAAAGAAATCTATGCCTACTTTGCTCCAATGGGGCCAATTTTTCCTATGCCACCAACATGGGCTCTTTCGCTCAACTTAGTCTGTATTTTTAGCATATGCAACAAGGCTTGAAAACTTCTTCAAAGCACTGGTAAATTTGAGGCCAGTATAAAAAGGTCTAT